TTCTTTCAAGAAAAGTATCTCAACTTCAGTTTCAAGGCTATATCTACAAATTAAGCAATAATGCTTGATGCAGGACTGTTAATTGGTTTATGAACATTTTGATATCACCTGTTATACCAAATGAATGTGTCGGTATATAAGAAATGAAGCGAAAAACAAGATTTAGAATCCCAAAGCAATTAAAAGTAACATGCATGATTAAAAGACTAGATTTGTCTGTGTTTCTTAGCACTAGTATTTTCTCGTTAATTAAATTGTGTGTTCACCAAACCTGTAAAACAATTCTGACAAAAATAGAACCAAGCCTTGTCTGTCATTATAACAACTCCACAGAGCCTGTTCCTTTCTCATTGATGATAACAGCTTAATAAAACACACACCTGCATACATTTATCATGTAACACTTTAACACTTAACAAGATTCTATGTTTAAAATAGAAATGCAATGAAAACGTTAACATTTGCATTCAGCATGTCAACACAAAAGCCATGATTTCACCAACAGGATAAGGCTTAAAAAGGGTTATTGAAAACTTTCATTGCTTCCTGTTTGTAATTCTAAAACACAGCACCAGGTACCTCAGGTGTATATTACTTCTAACAGAACTTAATCACACTTCAAGCACAGGTTTCCTTTATAGCTAGATACCCCCATTTGTAACCAAAGTCAGTCGGAGCTTGAACTGTTGATGAGCTTTAAAATCATGAGGATCATGCAATGCCAACTCATACCCATGTCTACCAACAGGGAGACTAACTGGATAACTGTGACCTACATTTTGATCTTTAACCTACTTCCCATGAAAATGGTGAACGTTTGAGACCATATCTCTATAACCTAAGACATACCAAATCATACCCATGTCCTTAAATGACCTTAGCGGTTGATAGGACATGTACATTAAACCCTGTACAACCAACCAACCAAATCACACTGAACTCAAATCTGACCTTCACTTATATATAACCGATTGGTGATAAAGTCAAAATGGTGATACATGTAATACATTTTAAATGTATAGACAAAATGCTGTAGAAACTGTTTGTGTTGACAATTTTTCTTCTGTGACATTTTGTCTTCATGACATTTACAGATATATACTAACTAAAACGTTCCTTTATAAATTAATACAGAAAAAAGCTTCCTGACACATTTTTTCCTTGATGGAGGTCAAAATGTAGGTCAGTGACCTACTTCTGATTTGCAGCACTGTATATATATATATATAACATTCTAGTGTACCAAGTCTGATAATCACAATCAAATAGTATTATAATATTTTCACCAAAAGCAATTTGAAATCGCCAATGGCGAGAGCCCTGGTATAGAAGAAGTGCATCAGAAACAAATTTTCATTAGTTCAAGTAAAAAAAAGGTCGAAGCGGCCAACTTTTGGTTAGGATTTGATGATCCACATGAAGTATAGAAATGTTGCTCTGAAAACTTGTTTAAGGACTGACATATATACACAAGGTAAAATTATACACCCCTAATTTTGTCAAAGTTAGGACACACATATCTGAAGAACTAGTTTTAATCTCCCAAAAGAAGAGTCTTCATATACTGGAACTTTAGCCATTCAATTTTGTTTCAAATAAGACTCTACCTCAACCCTGAAAGTAACATGTAAATGCCCTTTCTGACATCACAGGATGCACTGGCCTCACAAAAATTGTTATAAAAATAGTCATCAAGTTCTTTAAACAGGTACAGATATCACTGTACATATCTTCATAATATGCAGTCCACCAAACAAGATACTGGCATAATCGTCTAAATTGACAGCGTCTTCCACTAATATGAAGAAGACCCCTGAAAACGCCTTTGAAGATACAAGGTAGGGGGAGGGAGGGAAAACTATCCATAATATACTGTAACATTAACATCTGAAATATACAAAAATTATATCATAAAACACTTTCACTTTAAATACATCATTCAATATAATGGAATATAAATTGTTTTACTCTTGCCAATGAAAATGCACAAAAAAAAACCACTTGTTGGTTGCTTCAATAAACATTACGGACATCAGGTGAGTCAGACGTGTGTATTTTCCCTATCACTACACTAGCTAGGAGAAAGGCCACCAGCCACAGCCTATGAGATCAATACCATCATGAATCATGTATTTGAAAACCAGATTATGTCATCTAATGCATGAAATATAAATGAAAGAACATCTTTTAGTTCTGAGACACAATCAAGTGTATAGCAGGGTTTATAGGGCGGCATTCTGTGGAAGTGTTCACCAAGACCTACAGCCATTCCGGCCATTTGCATCCAAACAGTGTTGGTAACCACGAGCAACCATGACCTTCACACAAGTCGACTTTCCCCCAAGGAGCCTGGAAACATGGGTTTTGTCATTAATATTCCATAAATCTAGCTGTATTACCTCAGTGTGCAATGTATATATAACATTATAAAGCTTTTACACATCAAAAACTCCCACAGTGAACAAAAATTGTTCTGCAGTAACCCCTCATAAAATCCTGCAGAATTTACTGCAGTTATCAGAACCATTAAACACGATGTTTGATACTGATGCTGAACTTCTGCCAACCAATGCAAGAAGTATTGGTTTAATATAGAAACCTGGTAAAAAGAAGCATTTTACAATAATATGATATAGCAAAACCTGACTTAACCGACACCTAGGGTGACTGGATCATCTGGTCAGATATGACAGGTTGGTTCTAGATTGACAATCCCCTCTTTTTGGATTGTGTCGATAAATTTTGATTTCCCTGTATAACAAAATGTCCCCTAATTGTTACCAATGAAGGTTGCTATCATATTGACCCCTTATTGTTACCAATAAAGTTGCTATCATATTGACCCCTAATTGTTACCAATGAAGGTTTCTATCATATTGACCCCTTATTGTTACCAATAAGGTTGCTATCATATTGACCCCTAATTGTTACCAATGGAGGTGGCTATCATATTGACCCCTAATTTTTACCAATGAAGGTTGCTATCATATTGACTCCTTATTGTAACCAATGAAGGTTGCTATCATATTGACCCCTAATTGTTACCAATGAAGGTTTCTATCAAATTGACCCCTAATTGTTACCAATGAAGGTTGCTATCATATTGACCCCTAATTGTTACCAATGAAGGTAGCTATCATATTGACCCCTAATTGTTACCAATGAAAGTTGCTATCAAATTGACCCCTAATTGTTACCAATGGAGGTGGCTATCATATTGACCCCTAATTTTTACCAATGAAGGTTGCTATCATATTGACTCCTTATTGTAACCAATGAAGGTTGCTATCATATTGACCCCTAATTGTTACCAATGAAGGTAGCTCTCATATTAACTCCTAATTGTTACCAATGAAGGTTGCTATCATATTGACCCCTAATTGTTACCAATGAAGGTAGCTCTCGTATTAACTCCTAATTGTTACCAATGAAGGTAGCTATCACATTGACCCCTAATTGTTACCAATGAAGGTTGCTATCATATTGACTCCTAAGTGTTATCAATGAAGGTAGCTATCATATTGACCCCTAATTGTTACCAAGATTATTGTAGAATTGTTTGATATTGGTTACCAAGGTTACTGTAGAATTGTTTGATATTAGTTACCAAGGTTACTGTAGAATTGTTTGATATTAGTTACCAGGGTTACTGTAGAATTGTTTGCTATTAGTTACCACAGTTACATTAGATTTGTGTCCTATTTGTAACCAAGGTTACTGTAGAGATTTCCCCTATTAGTTACCAAGGTTGCTGTACCATTTGTCCTAATTCTTACTAAAAGATTGCTATGGTTTCCTAAATGTTACAAACATTATTGTGTGGCTCTTCACCAAATATCAATGCTGCTGAAAAGTTTTCCTTTTTATTGTTTCTAATTATCAGGACGCAATACAATTGTCAAAGGTGCGCACATTTCTCTCATCACTTACTGTCACCAGATCCTCTGATGCAGTTGGACAATGATAGCCTGCCAAGTGAAGCAGTCCCATCACCTTGCTGACAGCAGTAATTATGGATTATTGAGAAGTACCTACATTAAGTTATCATTGTGTTATGGCCTCACATCATCAGCTCAGCTAACAGCTGCACCAGGTTGTCTTTCCTAGCCAACGCCCTACTTTATACTGTCAACATTATCGATCCTTAACAAACATTTCATATTTAAATAATATGGTTTATTTGTACTCAAGGGTTCAATACTGTCGCAACTGTTTTTCGTTTGACATACTGATATTCCTAGTCAACAAATGACTAAATATAGTCCAACTGTCATCTACAGTAAAACACTTTAGCAATGAATTCACAGGGATGTTGAAAATTTATTTGCCTTTAATTTTCTTTCCAGTAATACAAATATGTTTTTGTAAGAATTTGCAATAAATATGTTGAAAACCTGACTGTCTATGAAGCGTTAGTTTTGTAAATACTAAAATGATACCTTTACATCAAAACGACCAGATTTTTCTCTTTTTTTTTGTATTACTTGCAAGAAATTGACACAGTCTTAATGATAATCGTTAAAGAGCAAGACATATTTTAACAAGTAATTTTGTTGTATAGTGTTATCTCACTGAAATATCCAGTAATAGGCACTCTTATAGTAAGCCTGGATGGAATCTTTTGGTTTGAGAGACTATATTTACTAGTTTTTTCTGTCCTGTGAGAGGGGCTTGGGGTCAATATTTTCCAGTTATCTTTCTCCGTCCATTTGCTGTGCAAGATTATGTCTGAGATACTATATATATTTCCCAGTTCTTTCTAATTTCAACTGCTGCATAAGAGGTGGTCTGACCGACAACACTTACCAGTTTCTTTCTTTTCTTTCTGTGATGTGAGAGATGGACAATATTTTGCACTTTTTCTCACCTTGCTATGTGAAAGAAGTTTTGAGAAATTTTCATTTTTCTTTCTCCTTGCTGTTGTAGAAAGGATTTGACAGGCTACGCCAGTTTTTCTCTCCTTAACGTATAAGAAAGGGTTTGATGGACCATGTAATTACCTGTTTTCTCTCTCCTCATTCTGTGAAAGGAGGTTGGAGTAGTAGTTTTCTAGAGTAACCTTAGCTTTGGTAGCCTTGTCCTTGGTGTGGTTACTAACTACAGGCGTCTGCTCCCCCACAGTGGCCATTTTGGAGCGGCGACTCTGCAAAACAAAAGGTCCTCATTATTTTCTCTGTATTAATTCAACAGATGGTTTAGTATGATGATGAACAGATATTGTGAAGTATTGAGTTCAGGATTGAAGCTTAAGACTGGCTTTCAGTTTCTAATTATAATCATCACTATTTTTCTGTCATTATATTGACTTGTGTAAGTCTACAGGCACTTGACCATATGATCAAGACAACTTGCTTAAGTCCATAGACAGGAAAATAATCATAAAGACTGAAAGCCATTCTTTACATAGAAATCTGCTTCCAGTAGTAGGTAGACCTAAACTTTGAAATGTTTTTAAACAAAGACTTGAAAATATAAGTAGCAATGGGTTTTATTTCAATCTGAAATGTGAAATCTGAAGCTCAGACAATAATATTTTTTGAATAATCAGGTTTAGGGAGAATATTCCTGTAGAATAATTCACTAACATTTCACCTTTCCATATATAATTCTGACGAATATTTATTCATCCAGCTGAAATAAAAATTTGTTACCACATCTGTTACCTCCACCTTATATATCGAAATGGTAGCCAGGAATATTGAAATTCAAACGCTGCATTAATGCCTAACTTTAAACCTGATATCTCGGACAAAAAGTCCTTGTTCTACATTACGCTGTTAACATTAAACCTGATATCTCACACAAAAAGTCCTTTTTCTACATTACGCTGTTTCTCCTTTCATTTCTGATGAACTATCCATGAACTCATCACGAATACACAAAAAAATCCAACTTTTAAGGTAGTCAGTGGTTGGCATACATGCACAATGCAAATAGATAACTTCTCTGATGTTCATTGATCCAATGACCTTTAACCTTCACAAGCAACCAATGGCACTAAAGGTTTAGATGAGGTGTACCCTAACTTCATGTACAGGTTGTTGTAATCTAGGAGCTCAGTAATTTGTTAAACGAATTGTGCTACATTTGGCACCCCTTGAGCCTAATATTTACTCAATGGAACATGTAAATACTGAAATGATGAGAAACTGCGCCCCTTCATCATATCAGCCAGATGTGTGTCCTCATTGCGCTTCCCTTGCAAAATTGTGCCTCTAAGTGTCATCATCATGGAAGCTCGTTCATAATTTCAATACAATACCCTATATCAATTACAAAATTGTTCTTTCCTGCTTTGCAACAGTCCAATTTCATGATGAAATAATACCTAATGACATATTTGTTACTTGCATTACTCAATCTAAAACAGGATTACTCAAATACTGCATGCATGGTATGTTCTCTTCAACGATAAATTGGAATTATTCAGCTTTTTTAAACCATAATGTGCTAAGCAGGTAGCTAATGGCCAATAACAGCAAAAACTATCAAGAATGAAGACACACCCCATTTATAGGGCACATACAATAGAGCCAAGTCCCCTTCACTCTTGAGAAGCAAAAATCTTTCTCGAACTCAAACAAATAATTTGGTTCAGGGAATGAGTTGCATAAATGTTCCAATGAATGTTTAATGCCATTTATGACATAATTTAGTCATTCACCCCTGAACACATTTGAACTCTTCCAATTCAAAGGTTGGAATAGTTCATCATGCAATATCAGGGGTGAATGAATTAATAGACCTGAGGAGACTGGACATGCAACAAGTAGTTTACTTCATATGAATATGAAATGTACCTTAATTAGTATTTGATGGAAAACAACAAAACATAACTTCAAAAGCTTTAACAGTAGAAACAAAACATTCTGAATTCAGAGTTAAGAGATTAATAAGTACACATTTTAGTTAGACAATAACAAAGATACTTACATATATATGTAATCAACATAGAAAAAGGTTCTACATACTAAACATATACAGTAATCCCTTTCCCTTCTTTTACAAGTAGTCAAGCTTACACTGTTTATATCCACAAACAGGGCAAACAAATATTAAGAACGTTCACCCTATATTTATACACACACACACACATACACAAATTATAACCCTATGGATGCATCAATAACCTTGTGTTGTGCAGACACAGTTAGTAGTCGATGATGACATCAGATCATGTCATCCTGTTAAACACACATCCTGGTGTTAGAATCTAGTCTCTTTATATGATCCCAGAGTATAGCAACCAATCATATAGGTCCAAATCTTGATAAAAATCTCGCACGACAAGTGTGCTCACTGAAAATGGGATTACCCATTATGCGACGATTAAACAACCTTGCACACACGCGTATGTCTGTCAAGATTGTACAAGTCCAAAACCCTTCAACATTATCAAAAACATTTATGATTTTTTTTTAACTATTTGCACTTCTTCAATCAGATCATTCAGAATTGATACCCGAATCCAGTCAGCTTGAAACTAAAGAGTATCCCCCCCCCCCCCCCTTATATTGCCACCCAGTCGCCTTCGTTAGGTTTATTACAAGATCTAACATGGATGGCAGCTAGCAGAAAGCCTATGTATGTAGTAAGTTAAAAGCAGTGTTGCAAATCACATCCGTGACACTACTCATTATGTAATAGGTTTTCAGTTTACACCTGTCCTGAAATGAGGGTTTTTTTCATATCATTACATTTACCACCTACCAGAAATGTTTTCACTTCAGACAATTTATATATACGCCGGCCATGAAATGATTACAATTCTCGTTTTGTCATAATTATAATTACACATACCCTGAAGAATCGGTCCGGATCTGCCACAAAAATCCTAAACAAGGCTGTGAGAATCGCTGGTCTATCCATGAGTATATATATATATATACCTTGCAAGTGAGGTAACATCCAACATACAGGTATATAAAGCTATACACACTGACCCTGTCCACAATAGTTCCCAATCACATGTGCTTTTTCAGCATATCGTCCAGGGAATTATGACATTTCTGTATATATTGGCATCCAGTAGAAGGGAACAGTGTGAAGAGTTCTATTGTAGAATCTACGTGAGAGTCTACATCCAGCAGGATTTTATAAGATAATCACCTGAAGACATTAATCCATTGACTCCCAAAGCCAGGTAAATTGTAAGTGAACTGCTACAATACTTTAGTAGGTTAAAGACAAACACAGAAGTTACAGTGTACAACATAAGAGCCTAGTAATAATGTACAACCACAATGCTAGCTGTAAACAGAGATTACAACATCAGCCCTTTGTGCTCAAGGTGTCCAGTCACGAACAGGACCCACAATCTCACCTTCTAAAGTGAGAGGTTCTCTCCTAAACACAACTCCAATTGTATGTAAATGTATGAGAAGATGATGGGGTCGCAGGTTTGATCCCAGCTGGTTTGGCTAGAAACACATGGACACTTTCCTCTAGATCTCCTGCACTGTTACATTTAAATTGCGCGTACACATGTACAGTGACTACTAAGATATTTGTATGTGTCACTGATAATTACAAGTGTACAAAAGATCTCCTGGTACATTAAGTTTTCACAGACACAGTAACGACCCCTGTGAGTTAATTACTGGGACATTTCATCATCACAGATGATCAATAATTAATACCAAAAGTCTCCTCAAACACTATGCAACACAATTGTAATAGATACTTTGAAATTCTGTATGACAGAATATAACAGCAAGGGATGATCAGATTAAATATCCTTCGCCGATCAAATCGACGCATATACATGTAATTGATGTACACTATATCATTGTATGTTCAAGTTTATACGACAGCTGTAGAGGTATAGAAACCATGTATTTCAAAAGGTAGCGATGCAACAGATGGCTGAGCATTACATATAAACCATAGCACTCAAAAGTCATACGACAAAGTTAAAACTAAAAACACGCTCGAAAACATCATGTCCAGCCGGCCTTTGTCACTCTTTGTAAGGACAACTTGTCAGATCCTATTAACAAGCTGGACACATACGCAATGATGACAAAAAAATCCTTTGGGGCAAAATACACCTACAACATCATAACGACAAGTAATATGTATCATAAGTCGACCACAGCCATGATTGGACATGACAGTCGACAGGTCATCATGTAGCCTCATTTCCATTCATAAAAGGTAAACACATTACTGGGGCCACGTATAGGTCACTTCGTGTCTTCCCTTTGAACTCATCTACAAATGGTCCTCAAAAAGTCAGTCAACTGTTATAAAAGGCTTAAACTAAGTACTCTAACATTAATCTGTTGTATTAAATTGTAATAAATGTTTCACCAACATGTATCTATTTGATAATGTTCTTTATAATAATCCTTATATTGAGTGTAGGAGCCTACACTAAATAAACATGCTTTTAATCCTATGTAGGAAATATCACACACTAGAACACCTTAAAGATCATGATCACCTGTTACATCAAATAGAAACTAAGACAATAGGATAATCAGTTGCTAATAACCAACATTCCATACTAGTAATTAAATAATACGAGAAAAAAGGTCACAAAACATGTCAGAGGTGTTCCAGAATGTTATACACACATATGTACAGTGACCTGGTTAGGCCATAATCTTTGGTTTCCAAAATGATATCAAAATATCGGAATATTTGACAGATGTTCCGAAATTATAAAGAAATATATATATATATAACATGACCTGGTTAGTCCAGACAGTTAAGTTTCCGAAATGATATCAGATTATTATGATTACTCATGAATAAAAGTATCTGGAGAGCGAATCTTCCAGATTATCAAAGTCAGGATAAACCAGACTTCAGCATAGCTATGTTAAAACTCTTACCCCCATGGTTCCCATGCTAGACAGCACATGTACCTATATAAGACACATGGTTTGTACATCACACTGTACTCCCTTCCCCATCTGCCATCTCCTGTACAAATGTGGACTAGAAAATCAATTCCCATTGCTGAATAATGATTTAGTTACATTAGGTGGGTATAAAACGCCTTGACATAGTGTGCTACAATACAGACAAACTGTCAAGGTAGAATACAGTCCCGAAGCCTTAAGCTGCGATAATGTAATTGGTGGGAGAGCACTTTTAGAACGATTGCTTCATCCATGGATACCCACATTGCATATATGGGCCTTGCAGCAAGGCCATCTATGATCTATTCTTGTACTGCATACCTTACATATAGGTGAAATACAATGGTGACTTATTTATTACCGCTGTTTCATCTTCTGAAACCTATATACATGAGCCTTGCAGTAATACCTCAGTTTCCTCTAGATCTTTCAACTTTGACGATCATCTCAGATCATCTCAGAATATTATGAAACCTTTACACCCATGCTTTATTATATACTTTGATGAAATACTAATGCAAGTTCATGACAGTAGGTTCATTTTGTAACCTAGTACACAAACATATTGTACAATGGCTCTTTATGACACATTACTTCATCTTCTGCATCCTACGTTGTATGCCTTCTTATGTTATTAACAACGATTGTTTCTGCATATAATTTACACTGGACCCTATTCCGTTTTATCTTCTCTTGAGTAGGTATTGATTGTTACGTCATTTGTTTGTGAGAGTAACGTCATCAATTTTTGAGAAAACGACGTAATTTTCTCACACAAACCAATGACGTAACAATCAATACCTGCTCTCAAGAGAAGATAACTCTGCAATAGGCAAAGACGGAATAGCAAAGACATCTAAAATTTAACGATCAACTGGTGAAACATCAATTAAAAGTGATCACCTCGTAATGCCGTGACAGCTATATACATAGTATTTAAAAATCTCCATGGTAATACACTTTTACTATAAAAAAACTTTGTATGGGTGAAATGACATTGAAATAAAAATCAATGATAACCAAGAACAGGATGAATAGTGATAACCATTTGAGGCAGAAACACTGACGGCTACCATATAATTTTAAACAAATGACATATATATGAAGATATAGGGATTTTGAATTACTGCTAATTAGCTGGCCCAAACCAGGTCAGGCCTTTCACAGCTACACTGGACAACATAGAACTTCTGTACAGGTGTATTTATAGAATCTAAGAACAGACGTTTGGGTCACTTCACGTCTGTTGTATTGTGTTGCATTAAAACGTTACTTAGCTCTTGATCTAGAGTCAGCTACAGATAAGTCTATGTTTCAAGGGAGAACTAGTACTGTGAAGAATGAAATTCAAATGAAACTGAACTTCTGGTCTAATGTATCTAAATCAACACCTCTTCATTTGGCTTCACAGCGATGATTGTAATCATTTATAAATTTTGAAATCCAATGATGAGATTTACTTGATTTATAATTATGAATTCATTATCAATTTACCACATACATGATGTATTGTTACACGATTCAGGGTTTAAAGGAATGATTAGGGTTTTTTTTCAAAATTCAATGGTAATTGCAGTCTGAATAATATTTTATGTATAGCAAACATCTCATTGTTAATACAGAAAATATAAATTTTAATGAGGGTAGGTAATTCTGTTGATAAAGGGAGGTAATTTGGGAGCATCCACCTTATCAGGTGGCACCTATCTACATATAGGTTTACATAACAAATTTGATTTTAATTCAGTTTATTGATATTTATCCTCACTCAAACTTCTAAAAATAAACTAACCCAAGTTGTACAAATCTAGTAACTATATTAAGCCTTTCATCTCGAGCTTGCTACAAAACCTACATGTTTTCTAACACGTTTATAATTCAATGAATATAAACTATCCAAGTAACGATAACACCATCAAAGGGGTGAAAATATCACAGCCTAGTTAAATGTAATACCCTGATGCAATCGTAAATCAAGTTTCATAAATTGTGTTCTATCGTAAATGTTATCGATCAAATTCATCTGTGAAATTCATCATTTTGATGTGTGAGGGACACAACTGTAACACTAGAAAACACTAGAACTGTTAGATCGTTGCCATCAATAGTAAATCTATCTGTGTGTGCCTGGCATGTATATCTCAAATTTTATATAGGTCTTACCATACACAACAAACATATAGCTTACATATAGCTAGTTGTATCAAGCAAAGTCAATGTTTCAAGTTCTTTTTCCCTCTCGGCGAATATTAATAACACCATTTTTTTTCTTTTTGATAAAATGAATGTCAGAATTTACACTATACACTTTAAACTTAATCAAAGATTTTTTTGCAGGATATATTCAGACAAGTCCTGAACATCATCTCCAAAATGTTGATGAGTCATACAGGAAAAGCATGTGCCAAGGACTCAAAGATCTGTGTCCCAAAACTAGCTTTACCTACACATGTGCGACGTGTCATGAAGTATTTTATCTGAAAAATGTTGAACATGGATCCGGAATAAAAACTCTATAAATCAAATGCTGCAGACCCTGAATTAGATAAAATATCATTGGTGATATATAACATGTACATGCATAATTGTATATAAAGAGCAAAGGCTACAGTTCCCTGAATGACCCTCCCTGATCGATGCCTTCAAGAGTACAAATTTTATGATCTATATATATGGAGAAAATGACAGTCATGATATATCATAGCTTTCTGAAGGTCTTCTTAACTCCTGCCTTTTTTAGATATAGAAAATGCATTAACTTATGAAACGGATTTAAAGACTATGGACTATGGAATAAAAATGTATGAACCTTACTTTGGATGAACAGCAGAAGAATATGCAAAAAATAGTTTCCTGAATGATATTTTAACACTGAGACTTCATGAATCACAGACATGTACAGAAAGTGGCTTTTTTCTCACTACAAGCAGAAATGCAGACACATTTTTGATGCTGTACGCTATAAATTCCATCAAGAGTGGGGGTCAGCACTATTTACACAAGGTACAATGCAAACTGGTGCTATCTGTTGCTAGAGCTGTTTTTAATTTGCCCATACAAGCTGTAAAACAGGCTCTAGGGAGATAATACGCTATCTTACAGGCCAGTTAACTAGTGCTAATGTACTAGATACTGAACACACAAAACCTGCCGATGCCTGAGAATGCCTTCAAAGTAACGGTATGTAACTATATCCAGCAGAAGGAACCGCCACAAAGATTCATTCATCTAGAAAATTTATGTTCAACTTACGAAGGGGTCATCTGAGGAACACTGTATATTGCAAAGGTTCACAATATAGCACATGGATCTTGGCTTTCCCTGCCTACTGTGTACCTAGACCAATCAAATATGGCCTAGAAATATTTACGATGTATGAACCAATATTTTTGTAAACAACTTATAGATATAAAATTTGATGTTC